TTAGCATGTTCTAAAACCACACTGTTATCGACCACATTACAAGTAAAAACTTATTTAATCCATGTCGATCTGATGAGAATAATCAATTATATTTCCGTTTTATGGAAACATTGAAATGATTCATTATAATTCCAACAATGGCCCCTGTCATTCTTTTATTGTTATCACAAATCTGGGCTTCTTCAATTAATGCTAATGATAACAGAAACCGTTTCCTAATATGGAAACATTTGGAAACATAAGGAAACATTGTCAGATCAGTCAGCACTGTGGTCGGTTGAAATTTATGAAATCTTTCTCTTAAAACAATTTTTCAGATAAATAGGTTTCTCAAGTCCAGTAGCTGTTATCGCTCTTTCTTTCTAACCTTTTGTTTGCAGTAGTATGGAATGTCAACATCTTGATTATGTAATTGTTTTTGTCTTTGAGGTTTCTCTCCATATTTGGTCAATGTAGGTGATACGCCATGTTTAGAATGTCCAGGGAAGTAGATCACCCACAAGTGTTTGTTTTTGGAAATTTTGAAATGAATCATTCTAATTGCTTTCTTCTTTAAATATCATAGGTGACAGCCGAGTGAATGTCCAGCCAATGATGATGTCCTTACATCATTTATTTGTCCGTGAACACAACCGTCTTGCCGATATTCTTAGCGCTGCCCATCCAGACTGGACCGACGAAGTGGTTTTCCAAGAAGCACGAAGATTGGTTATTGCTGAGATGCAACATGTCACCTATAATGAATACATGCCTGTGGTTCTTGGTCCCACCTTGATGGAAACCTACAACCTGAATGTCCTCACCCAGGGCTATACCACATACATCGATAACATTAACCCGGCTATTCGTAATGGTTTTGCCTCAGCTGGAATTATCTACAGCCATTCGGGTCTTCGAAGTGTGGCCACCATTGGAGACTCACAGAATCCACTCAGCTCCCTTTTCTACAACTCTGATGTTTTTTACAATGGCGTTGATGCACCAACTCTTGTGTTCCAAGGGCTTACTAGTGATATGGCTCAGTCAGTTGACAGGTAAGGGATAAAAAAAATCACTCCAGACGAAACACGGGGCAACTTGCTGGAATGTTTATTATTGTGATGTCAAAAATCAGTTGACAGATTATATGATTCTGGAAAAAAATTATATTTCTTCTGCAAATACAATGTAGATTTGTTAGTGAAGAAGTCATGAAATAACAAATATTGTCTGTCTTGTGTCGTAGCCAATCTTAACCTTTTCTAAGAATATATTTAAAGATTTGGGCTTGTTTATTGAATTTGATGAATAGAAGGGAATAAATGTTAGTTTTAACGGATGCACCTATTTAAATAGACCGACTCAGCCACGGAGTGCGTCCTCAATCATGCAAAGTTGAATTGTACCTTATAAACGCAAATCTTTCTCAGATTCTCGAAACATTCGTGTTTTGGAAGAATGGAAAGAGGTGTTTATTCCGAGGTAGTAGAAGATAGGTCAGCTTCTACTTTAGTACATATAAAGAAATATATATATATATATGGAGCCAGAATATGTTATACACAGAGTGCTGGTAAGCATACACCACTTTGGAAACAGAAAGTTACACCCACCTTACTCTGGATACAGGAAGGTACACTCACTTTACTTTTGATGAAGAAGGGTACCTTCACCTTATTCTGGAGGCAGAAGGGTACACCCACATAACAGAGATGGGTGGAAGAAAAGAAAGAGAACTAGTTTTACGATTTAGGGTATCGGGTAGACATTTTCTCATTTAAAAAAAGAAAAATATTTTATCCTTTTATTTTATTAAATCATGATGTTAATTTTGTTACTGTTGTTTAGAAAATGTATTTCATTTGTGGCGGGTAAAAAGATGACGATAATTTATCTGTTTTGGTAACATAATAAAAAAAATCTTTCTAATTAGCAAACAATAAATAGGTTACAATAGGAATAAGAGTGCTTTCTTACTATCACCTTGCAGCGTGTTGGTAAATCGGTAGACTTACAAAAATGTGTCTGACTTTAGACTAACAAGCACGTACAATTTAAACTTTAGTCTTTAAGACCAACACTGAATTTATGTACGTACAAGACTTCTAATATTAGCGCCTGTCTTTAAATACTTGATATAGGCAGAATTAGGCACGTGTTCGATTTGTCAGGAAGCAGACTTCTTCATGTTATCGGCCTGTAGGGACGATCCCAGCGTGCGGCACGTTTGCCTGAAAAGCTTTCTGCTTTGTGAGCCAAAATTGGGCAGACGGCACTATTTGACAGCCGTCTAGCTAGCACGGAGTCCCAAGTCATCGTGATCGAGGGTTTGAACGTACTGGCCTTGTTCAAACTGTTGATCAGGTTAGATAATGGGCCATCTTCCAGAAATTATAACTCAGGTCCGTTCAGGATAGTTGCATTATCTGTGGGTGTTGACTAAACACACATGTGCCTGAGCGGGCGTCTGCAATAGGGACTGGCTAACAGAGATACATACACGGATACGAGCGTCTTAGTATTCTATTAATTTTTATCTGACATAATTATTGTTCTGGAGATCATTACTTTTTTTAAGTCGCAAAATTAAATATAATTAAGTAATAATTAACTAAGAACTGTCTTAATGTTTTTTTTTACCAGGTTGATGACTGACGAACTGACCAATAAACTTGTGGAAACCGTTCCAGGAAATGGTTTAGGATTTGGCCATCTGGACGTACAAGCTGGACGTGACAATGGACTACCAACATACAACACTTGGCGCCAATGGTGGTGGTTTGAGTGTAGCCGAAAATTTCACAGCACTTCCTGATCATGCTGAAGCTGAAATCGACATTTTTGCAGACTCTCTACGCGTAAGAGATTTTCTAGCAAATAAACAAGTAAATAATGTCAAAACTCCAGACATTGAAAAGCTTTATTATCCCACGCCATTATTCAGACGAATATCTTCATTCTTACTGTGTTGATATCAAAGTTATCTTGATATCAGGTTCTAAATAGATATATCCAAGAAAAGGATATATACATTTTTTCATATACAAGGAAAATCAATGACAAAAGGAATTTTTTTCGAGTGATGCTTTTCTCCGATCACTTCATCGAACAAAAGTGATGTTTACGCATGCGTAGGGAAATGAATGTAAATGTCACTTTTAGTTCTATGCAGTTCGGAAGGACGAAACACGTCACACACAACAAAAATATTTTTCCACTTTGTCATTGACTTTCAAAACCGATATATCATGTTTTGTAGAATTACTTACGAATTTTCCCAATACATTTATTGGATCATATATAATTAATATATAGAAATATCACATTAAAGTATATAGATATATTCATGATATTTTATACTGCAAATATTCTTTCTCAGTTTCAGTTTTATCTATCTATCTATCTATCTATCTATCTATCTATCTATCTATCTATCTATCGCATTCTCTTCATTATCCATTATAACTATTTATTTCGAGTTTAGCTTAAGCTGAATCTGAGATCTTTTCTTGAACATATCCCTGAGTAAGAAAAGTAGAATTTCACAAACTAAAAAGAAATATCTGTAAATATCATAATCTGACGCAGAAAAATATTCAATCGATTCAATACACATGTCCAACCACGTACTAATTGGTACTTATCGATATATTGGTATCATTTGTTATTTTGAATCTAAATATTTTCTTCAAGTAATCTACTCTGGTTCCTTTTGTCTTTCAGGAGCGTAGAAGACATTGATGTTTGGACTGGTGGTGTGTCTGAAATTCCAGTTGAAGGTGGAAGTGTTGGTCCCTTGTTAGCATGCATTGCTGGACGCCAATTCCAGGCTTTGAAAATGGGTGACCGATTCTGGTACGAGAACGCCGGAGAAAACCAATTATCTATTGGTAAGTTAAGCCAAGATAAGACCTATTGTAATGGCGTTGGTAAAATTAGCCGTTTCCTTATAAGGAAACATTTGACATTCATTGACCGAACAGTTAAAGTTACTGTCCGTTGATATTTACAAAATATTTCTCTTAAAACCGTTTTTCAGGAAAATGGGATTTAAACGGCTACTAAATGTTATCGCTCTTTCTAGTACTGATGTGAATTTCTTTCATTAAAAAAAAAATTGTTTAAGGTAGCGTGGAAAGTTAACATTTTGATTAAATAATTATTTTCCCTTCTAATTACGTGGGTCAGCAATTTTAGTTTTCAAATGCTGTAGTTTTCGCTATTTGGTAAAACTATTTGTTATTCTGTAGCGCCAGCCTGTTTGGTTTGATGAATGTTTATCATCTTTAAGACCGTAAGGAATCATTCGTTTGAAGCCAACCATTGATCAGAGAAAACTGTTGTATGTAGAAGACGGCTTAAACATTTCTGAACGGGTTAGATGCTATGTATGACATCCACATGAGAGTCTAGATCTGACGAGTTTATTTAAGAACATAAATCGAGTTCTCAAGTTAATATTTTGCTTCTATAACATCAAACAAAAGTATCACTTACGTCACCTGTCCTTTGTTCAATTTCCTTATTTCCTATACGGAATTTGTTAAACCTGATGCATGCGCCGAGGTAATTTGATATGTTAGTATGTATAATATGTTCATAAGTCACCCACTTGCTACTAATTGAACTTCCCTCTCCTTTCACTGAATCCTTTTTTATTCTCTTTGGAAAGGGTTCCATAATATACCGTTTAGGAACAACTAATACATTTGTACGCTATTGTTGACCCAATAAAATGCCCAAGAGCTGCTCAAGGAAGACGGTTACTGAATTGGATTTTTTATGGGCAAAAGACTTGGAGATTGTAACGATATATAGGCTAGATGACGGTTTTCACGAAAAGTGGTTAAGTGTGTAGTAACCGAGGAAGCATCCACTCGGAATTTGATTCCAGAAACTCGTGGTTCTTGGGAAGAAGCTGTCGGGGTGGAACTTCCTCCTTACAAATGAAATACGAAAGTGATGAAGATCGATCGCCTCTTTATACATGGTATGTTTGGTTTTAGATGTAAAGGTCTGAAATGGTGGAAATATGGAATGTAGTTCGCCAAAATGTTTTTGCACGGAAATAACGATAGAAAAGTGATAAGTTTGCCGCGTTACAATTGCAAGGAAATGGTCTGAAAAGTGGGAAACAATTCATTGCCTACAGGGCGGCGCTTTCAAATTCTGTCAGGGTTGGAAAAATAGAATTGAACAGCTATCAGAAATATCCTCTTATTTACATTTCAGATTGCCTGAACGCCATCCGAAATGTGTCTATGTCTCGTCTCATCTGTGACAACACTAACATCCAACAAATCCAAGGAAATGCCTTTATTGCTGCTTCTGATGCGTAAGTTTTCCATTTTATTCAATTGGAAATGCAATCCCTTTCTTCGTACACGATATAATTAAATAAAAGATTCTTCGGATATATAGATATATGTAAGTATATCAGTCAGACCATAGTCTCATGTTGTTATATTACATAACTCGTATTTAATTTTTAAAATAATCTCCTTCCTTGCATTTAATTCAGACGTCGATATTAATCACATATAGTGAAAATTTAGACTAAAATTTTGTTGAGACCTTTGGTCAAGATACAGACTTGTTGATCCAACTTCTGATTTAAAAAAACAAACATTATTTTTTCAGTAACCCAATTGTCGACTGCTCTTCCCTGAGCGCCGCTGAACAATGTTCCTTGGTAAGATCGTTCGGTGTTTGGGGTGCCTGGAGCGACTGCATCAACAACCAGAGAGTTAGAACTCGCCAATGTGTAGCCCCTACAACTGGAGAATGTTCCTGTGATGGTGTACCCGCCGAAACCCAAATTGGAGAATGCAATATCTTCGCAGCTGCAAACTAATCGATTTTAAACAACGAATTCTTTGTCCATTAGCTCTTTGACACACTTTTGTTTAAATAAAATGAAGTTTTTGAAATAAATGCATATTGTTGTCTTGTTTATTATAATATTTGGTATCTTACTAATTTTAGGTATTTCATGACTTATAAAAGTGAGTTTGATACTCATTTTGGGTACCTCAATATTGTTACTTTGCGTCATGTTTCGTAAAGTTCTTTTTGATTTCAAGAGCTTAGAATTCTTCCAGAGTATTTTCTGATAATCACATGCGAATGACTACTTTAGGTTTGACACAAGGTCACATTAGCCGAGTAGTGGAGATATCGGATGATGAGAAAAGTATTTTATGAAATCACTCAAATCACCGTGTAAAACAGTATTCAAAATCTTTGCTATTACCAGGGCTCGACTATCAACCACTGGAATCGGAAATGGTAGGTTGAGTCATAAATAATTTTTTCTTTTGGTTATCAATTTTATTTTTTCAGACATCAAAAAATAATTCCATTCTATTTTCAATTTTATATTCACCGTTTAAATTAAATGATTTGCTGCCGCTTATCAAGCAGTTCGTCGATAACTTGACTAATGATGTGAAAAACCTTTCAACAAAAACTTGAATCTGGTTTTCATTAGAGCGAGTATTCAATCCCGCCCTACTCATTCTGTTTCGATCAAAAACTGCAATGATCGTTTAGTTCCAAGGTCAGGTGAATATGGCGCGTAAAACAGAGCAAACTAATTATGTTTTCTTTGTGTTATTCTTTCTGTATGCACCCTTATTTTGTAATGGAGTAGAACATTTTCTTATTGAGTTGTGCATGGTGCTTTGTGTCTAAATCTTTATGGACACATTTCAGCTGCTGTATATATAAATGTGCATTTAATGCTTCACTGCGTTTTAATAACTCTAAATTAACAATACTCTAACGAACCCACAACATGCTAACATTACCTTTCTTACATGGAGATTCAATCTACGAACTTTTATGTTTAGCATTGTTGTATATAACCCACTTTTCATCGCCTGTTTTATTTAAGAAACGATTAATTAAGTGATTCATTATTACTGTTTTAGGGTGGCACCCAACTCCGTCATATTGATCTGGTTGTAATCATTGGTCTTTCTCAGATAGGCTGATTCGTCAACTACGATGACGTCAATTTCTACATTCATACCCATAACGATACTGCTTGCATTACACTATACTATTCCCTTTGTTGATTTGGGGACATACCCCTTCCCTCTAACTGGGTTCTGCCTTCTCATTTCTTCTACAATTTCTCTCATTACAGTAACTGTTTCATCATCCACTTTCTCAGTCCTTCTTTTTTATATGGCTGCACGTCATCCTACGTCATCCAGCGTTAGGGCAATGGCCTATCAGTTTTCCGCAGATTGAAAACAGCTCACGTTTGCTGATGCATTTTCCCACCTCTGGCATCTCTTTTCCACTTTTGAATATGTTGTGGATTCCGAGATGAATTCGGTCTCCAAGGAATGACAAACGCAATAATTAAATATAAGAAATACAATGTATTTACACAATCATACAAAGAGTAATACTGTCAGTAAGTCCAGGAACGCGGTTAGTAGCAAATACAGATAGATATATACAGTCTCTAAGTAGTTCTTCTTTTGAGTCTACGTACTTGTAACTGACTTCTACACGAGGTTAACTCACTCTATCTCTGTTCGTATATTCTCTCTCCCTATATCCTCTCTCTCTCTCTTGCTCCGTATATCCTCTCTCACTGACTGTCTAACTCTAGGTATTTAACGGCAGCACTCCAAGTAACACTGGTAGAGTCCACTTATATGAAAAAGGGGTGGACCCCATAATAGAATACCAGATTTTTATGTAATCGGAGACTTCATCCTGTCCTGCCCTCCAATCGTTCAGCGGGCTTTTCTATCAAGCCAAACTTGCCAAGGTGTTCCCCGGCCCTTTTTACGGACATTGCTGTTTCGTCAATCAAAATGTCATCGGTATATGAATCCACAGCATTTTCTGTACTATTCATATTTTCTAGAAGTCTTAGATATTGTTGCTATGACTTTTGGCACAACAATTATTCCAAACCCTAGCTGAGTCAGACAATAAATATTTCCCGTAAACTGAACCAACTGGTATTTCATCAATTTCCTTGCCACAAGTTTTTAGGTTCACAATGGTGGAAACTCTTGTCAGTTGTCTCCACTTCCGTATTCTTTCATCTCACTCGTCTATAATCTCTTCACCTGAGTGACATGACACGGTCGTCCAGCACTGACCTGACCTTATTTTTTTGTCGGCATAGCTACTGCCATTAGCGGCAACACTCCAGTTGTTGCATCTTCTATCGGCCGAATAAGAATTTCCTCATCAATCTACCTCTTCACTTCTTCAAACTCTGCTATTTCTTCTTCCTGCTGACGACTCTTGTTACAGGCGACTTTATTCTTAAGCACCGTAGGCCCTGCTGTCAAATCCCACTCAACTGTCCAGTTCCACTCAACTGTCCACCTCTTAGCATCGAACTCTGCACAGAAGTCTTTATCCTTTACTGTTTTTATCGTCCGTAAATTGCCAACGCGTTCTTATCTCACAATGCTTATCACCAAACGCCACAGTTCTTTCATTTTATGTGCCATGTCCTTTCAGAACGTAGGCGATTACGGCTCTTCTTCTCCCCCAATCCCTTGCAGCCCTCAACAAGTTCCTTTCCTCTGCTTCGTTCCACAGACTACGTTCTGTCATTCAAGCCCACTAGGTATGTCACGCGCTGTTTTCCCTTGTCTCTCTTTCCTTTACTCACGGGGGAATAGAACTCCACAGTACCATCTTTATTGACGATGACACCTTCAAGCTGAATGGTCACACGCATTTCCAATATGGTGTCGATATCTGCAATCAAAAGGTCAATTACGATGGCCTTTATATTTAATCGCCAACCTCGTATTTCCAACGCCACAGTGCAAGTTCCTCTACATCTCTCTTCTCTCCAGTCAACAGCTTTTATATTGCTCCTTCCTCTCCATTCAATTATATTTACCCTTCCTCTCCATTCAACTATATAGCTCCTTCCTCTCCATTTAACTATTTTGTTCCTTCCGCTCCATTCAACTATATAACTCCTTCCTCTCCATTCAATTATATTGCTTCTTCCTCTCCATTCAATTATATTGCTTCTTCCTCTCCATTCAACTATGTAGCTCCTTCCTCTCCATTCAACTATTTTGCTCCTTCCGCTTCACTCAATTATATTGCTCCTTCCTCTCCATTCAATTATATAGCTCCTTCCTCTCCATTCAACTATATTGCTTCTTCCTCTCCATTCAATTATATTGTTCCTTCCTCTCCATTCAACTATGTAGCTCCTTCCTCTCCATTCAACTATTTTGCTCCTTTCTCTCCATTAAATATTATTTCTTCTTCCTCTCCATTCAATTATATTTCTTCTTCCTCTCCATTCAATCTTTTCACGAGAATGAATCGTGGTACAGTTTAGTTTACACATGAGTTTCGTAGTACAGCCAGTATCGACAAGGGCTCCTACCTTTCTCCCCTCTACCAATATATTTACTATTACTGTGATCCGTGACGCACCGCTGCTGGAATGAAGGGGTAGTCACCAGCGCAGTTTTTCCCCTCGGTTCGTTTCGCCATGGACAATATTTCACCATGTGCCCTGTTTCACCACATCCGAAACAGATTGGTTTGGATCTTGACGGGTCTTTACAGTCACGCAGCAAATGCGGACCGTTGAATCTGAAACACTGACCGCTAAATGTTCTGAATGGTTTCACCCGCCCCTCAAACATTTTGACATCCCCTCTGTATCTAGCTTGGCTCTGCTTTTCAATCACTGCCGTCTCAAGTTCCTGTGTTTTGTTGACCGTCAGCATCCTAGCAGTAGAGATCAATTTACTAATATCCATTTCTTTTAGCCGTGGCAACTGCTGGAGGGCTACTGAGATGCTCCCTGGAAAGCCATTGACAAATGTCAATTCCGCAATCTGATCCAGCCCTCTTTCGATGAATCCTGCCAATCTCTGCATGTTGATAGCCTACACGTCTACTGAATCCCCGGTCCATCTAATCTATCTCCGCTTTTCTATGTGCAACAAACGGCCCTTCCGAAGATGCCTTCCGCTGCGCATGCTCTATCATTTCTGCATTTAATAGGAGTAGGTAGGCTGTCCTACCGCCCGGTCAACACTCCTCCAACTTCTCTTGGACATGAGTAGAGGCTTACACCTTGTTTCTTGTTTAGGAAGGGGTTCCCGGTACTCTCTCTCTCTCTTTTCTCTCTCTCTCTCTCTCTCACTGGCCTCTGTATCTCCAGTTGCCTTCATCTATCCACTACCCTTCTCCTCATCCTTTCTTCTATCACTCCTATCTGATCTTGCTCCAAATTTTCTGTAACCCCTTGCGTCCTAGTGGCTTCCCGCCTTGCTTGGGGTGAAACGCTTAAAAAAAATCTTCTGATGGTCCTCACTCAATTGCAGATACGGAGCTAAAGCAACCCCTTCAAGAAACAAGGGAATTAAAACTTGCAAGGTAAGGGATCTTTTGCAACCACGCAACCAATTTCACTACTGCCAACGAAGCAATAACGGTTCACTACGCTGAAAGGCTTCATTATATCAGTGTTTAATCGTAATTTCCCATCAATGGTAGCCGAAATAACTTCTTGTTTTAGAAGGCAAAACAGTTTGTTTCTCTTTCCTTTCCCTAAGCTCGTTGCTTTCGCTGTATTTCGTTCGTTCGTCCGCGAAATTGCATGATACTTGCGGATGAAGTCTCTCAGAAACTAATTTCTCATTGACTAATATAGCCTCTATTCCACCGACAATTCCCTGTTTTTTCACCATCCATTACAATTATGAGTAAGGCAGGTAGCATCCATTAGGACACAATGCTTTTACAATTATTACAATTGGTTTCCAAAAACGGAAATTACTTATGATTCAACCGAATCTATCTATCTATCTATCTATCTATCTATCTATCTATCTATTTATCTATTATAGTGTTTCTATCTATATGTCGTGGAGTCTTCGTATCTATCAATCTATGCAACAATCTAGATGTCTATCATATCTGTTCACATCTATCTGTCGTAGTATACATTATCTATCTATCTACCTCGGTCTGTTAATCTTTTTCCCTCTCTCTTTATCTATCTATTCATCTCTTTCTCCTTTTCTCTCTCTCTCTCTCTCTCTCTCTCTCTCTTTGCTCATTTCTGTCTCTATTTCTTTTTTTACTTTCTCTCTTTCTTTCTTAGTTCATTCATATATAATTCAGTTCATATATATTTTTTCATGTTTACTTCGATCCTTTAATATCTATGTAAACATTGTGACCTTTTCAACCTGTTCATATCTATCTATCTATCTATCTATCTATCTATCTATCTATCTGTCTGTCTGTTAGTGTACCTCATTTAACTGACCCATATGATTAATAGTTATGATGATACATTCGTCATTACAATTGATTCCTAATAACGGTAATTACTTATGATTCAACCTATTAGTTGCATAATAATCCCAATAAACGCGCGCTGAAACCTCGGCTCCTGCTGGTTATATTTATTACGTAATTATTTTATGCTGTAAATAATTGAAAATTGACCTGAATGTCACCGGTTCTATCTCAGCCTCTACGTATCTACCTTGAAGGATTGATTGTATTTTACGGTTTATCAAATTTTGCAGGTTATTTAAAGTCAGAAAATATTTTATATTGTAAGAGTTTTTCGATGATAATAATGATTTACTGATACAAGTCCTAGTAATTAACCCATAGCATGGAAGTGGGGTGGGGAAGTTTATTTGTGCGAAAGGGAATATAATGGACCCGACTAGAATTGAAACTCGGCGTTCTAATTTCCAATTCCTAGACGTTATCAATTATATCAACCGCATATCCAAGCTTAAAGCACTTGGTATTGAGAAGCGGTCGCCCATTTAGTTACTGAACAGGTTTCTTCGGTGATGACACGAGAACCGGTGCTCAACTTGATATCCCCTTGGGATAGATAGATAGATAGATAGATAGATAGATAGATAGATAGATGTAGACAGTGATATATATATATATATAAATATTGCTAATTGATTCAAGGTATGATTAACTCTTTGTAATATATATATATATATATATATATATATATATATAGATAGATAGATAGATATAAGAAGACAGTTATATATATATAGAGAGAGAGAGAGAGACAGAGACAGAGAGACAGAGACAGAGAAATATGAGCAGATAGATAGATGAATAGATAGATATGAGTAGACAGTGATAGATAGATAGATAGATAGATAGATAGATAGATAGATAGATAGATAAAGAGAGAGACAGAGACGGAGACAGTGAAATATTAGCAAGAAAGGAGATAGATAGATAGATAGATAGATAGATAGATAGATAGATAGATAGATAGATAGATAGTGCAGATTAAAGGTTAATTTAATTGCGGATTTCATCATCATATCACTATCTATAGACGTCAGGAGTGTTGGAAGGCTTTCCCACCAAGTACTGACCAACAGAAGGTTTACTGTGGAATGAATTGCAGGCAGCTTGAATAAAGTGAAGGAAGAACCGTGGCACAGCACACAGTCCATCGATCTTTGTTGTGTATACACACCTCCATCGTTGCAGGATAGTCAGAATGGGGAGAAACAAACAAAATGCTGTTCGGTTGTTTTTCTAAGCCACAACGCACAATCCTTTAATCTGAGAAAGTGTCAAAATATCATATGAAAGCTTTATGAGTGCAGTTTCTATCTAGAATAAATCAAATAATCGGTACAGCATCAAAGGAAAACCCTAGCAATACAAAGGCGAAAACAGGAAACGACCAAAGAAAAAGTGGAAAAAAAGATAAAAAAAAGAAGGGCAAACACCTCCTTAATTAGAAGCCTATAGTAGAAATCATACTAAGAGGCGTAACATTAACAAACACCAAACAGTGTTTAGGGACTACGATGCAAATCATAACTTTGGGTTTCACGCGATGGCGATCGTTAGATGACAACATTCAAAGAAAGCCATGTTGAAAGGTGGGGGGAGAAGAAAAAATAAATGTTAATAAAGTTGCCCTAAAAGAAAATAAGCAAAGAAAAAAATGTCAAATGACGTACTAAGCCCCGGAGACGCTACTCTGGCCAATAATTGGTGAAGTGAGTTTCGTACTTATTAACGTACCTTATTTAGTAATCTTACGCCATTCTTCTTCTTCTTCTTCTTCTTCTTCTTCTTCTTCTTCTTCTTCTTCTTCTTCTTCGCAAACTGCCTTCCGCTATCACTGTTACCCTCGGATCGATCTATCTGCCTGTCTGAGTCAGTTCATATCTCTCTCATTCTGTTCATACCTATCTATGTATGTATGTCAGTCTATTCATGTCTATCTATTATAATCCTCATATAAGCTGATAGTTTCTGATAATATTGTAAGGACGAACACTGGAACAAAAGATTAATGAAAAAAAAAGGTTTAATCACATGAAGGACATGGATTACAGTAATAGAGAATACAGTTCAGTGTGGCAATGCGGACGACTCAACGCTACTCCTTACGATCTACTTTTCGACAACTGTTCCTATCAGCAGACGTTCTACTCCTGGTGAATGGACGAGTCTATGTTCAACAATTAGTGTAGAGATGGTCGTTCTTCTTTCTACACAATACCTTTCTTTTTAAGATACGCTTTCTCTTTTGAATAGATATTTTCTTTTCTTGGGGTTCACTTCCAAAATTTCCTTTGAATTTCTTTTACTTTTACTAACACAGTGTTTTCGTGTATTTATAATTGGGGCTGGCAAGTCAAAAGCATCGTACAGCATTTCAATAGGAAAATCTCTTTATTTCCTTGACATATGTTGGTTATTATACTTTCTATGGCGCCAATTTCGTCATTGTACCGTATTCATCATCTTGCTAAAACGATTTACTATTTCACCATCTTCCGAACTTTTCTTCCCCGCCTTTTATATCCTTAAGAAAATCTTATCTCCAGCTTTGATAGATTTTATAGTTAATTTCGCACTATACAAACTTTTTTTATTTTTCTTCCAAGTATTAATTTGTTAAACACCGATTTAATTTTCCTGGCAAACATTAGTTTCGCTGGTGACATCTTCGATGCAGTATTAAGGTTAGAGGTCAGTGTATACATTCTTAAAAACTGTTGGATTATTACTTCTACCAAAATTTCTGCAAAATTCTGAAAGTCACTCGAAGTAAATTGCGTGCCATTATCACTCTAGGATCGGGAACTCCAAATATCGAAAAAAATTCATAAAGAAAATTGATTTATATATGGAAAAAGATTTATTAATATCATTCACACCTAGATTATTATTTCTTTGTTTCCATCTCACTTTTACGTCGTTCATCATTTTCCAAATGTAGGCGTCCTTCTTGGATTGTATTTTAATTTCGTTCGACGTCACGGGTAGGTCCTTTATTGTGTTACACAAAACACGTTT